GAAACGGACTCCGACAATAGAGAATTCAAAGCTGAGATCCTCTACCGAGTGGGATACTGCCAGTGGGAGAATGATCCATCGCCGGCAGCGCGCAAAGACCGGACTGGAGCATACGCCAGCTTCCTCGCGTCTATCCAGTCAAACATGAATTTTGCTCCTGCCTATACGAGCCTCGGTCTTTACTATGCGGACTACAAGAAGGACAAGACCCGAGCACGCAGGTGCTTCCATAAGGCATTCGAGCTGTCCGCGTCAGAGATCGAAGCAGCTGAGCGACTGGCCAAGACATTCGCCGATCAGAGGGAATGGGATCTTGTCGAAGCCGTGTCCCAACGTGTCGTCGATTCAGGGAAAGCTAAGCCTGCCCCAGGCTCGAAGCGCAAAGGCTACAGCTGGCCCTACGCAGCTCTGGGCACAGTGCAAATCAACAAGCAACAGTACCCTAAGAGTATTGTCTCTTTCCAGGCAGCTCTCAGAATCTCTCCCAATGACTACCATTCGTGGGTTGGTCTAGGCGAGAGCTACCACCACTCTGGCAGATTCATTGCCGCTACAAAGGCGTTTGAGCACGCACAGCAGCTCGAGGATAACCTTTCCGACAAGGAGCAGATCTGGTTTGCAAGGTACATGCTAGCTAATGTCAAACGAGAGCTCGGCGAGTACGAGGATGCTATTGCGAGATATGAAGATGTCTTGCAGGTGCGACCTAATGAATTTGGCGTGGCGATTGCGCTGCTTCAAACGCTTACCGAGAGCTCCTGGAAGAGTCTGGACCAGGGTCTTTACAATGACTGTATTGAGCTGGCACGGAAGGCCCTACTAGTAGCCAAGTCGCTTGCTCTGGAACGGGTCGACGTGTTCAACCTATGGAAAGGAATCGGAGACTCCTGTACGCTCTTCTCTTACGTCCAGTCGAAAGCGGGTAGGTTGCCGGTTGATGAGCTACGAGACCTACTTGAGACTCAGCTGGAACCTACGGCCCTCGATATCTTGACAGAAGTTGATAATGTTGGTCATGACTATCTATCTTCGTCAACAGCGGACGATGAGACCGCCAACCGGACAAGCCAATGTCTCTACGCTGCTATCCTGGCCTACAAGCGTGCCATTCAGGTCTCTCTGCGGGACAGCCATGCCCAAGCAGTCGCCTGGTACAACCTGGGCTGGGCAGAGTACCGAGCTTACCGGTGTTTGCAGACTATCCTAAACACCGAGAACAAGAAGCAGTCACGTAAGCTTCTAAAGGCAGCTATGCGATGCTTTAAGAGAGCCATTGAGCTCGAAGCCGGAAATTCGGAGTTCTGGAACGCGTTGGGAGTAGTCACCACGAGTATGAGCCCCAAGGTCGCACAGCATGCATTCGTCCGCAGTCTTCATCTCAACGACAGAAGCGCCCAAGTCTGGACGAACCTGGGAACTCTTTATCTCATTCACAATGACATCCAGCTCGCTAATGAGGCTTTCACCCGGGCACAGTCCACTGACCCCGACTACTCCCCGGCCTGGGTTGGCCAAGGATTCTTGGCACTCTTGTTCGGAGATCCTCAGGAAGCGAGGGGCCTCTTTGAGCATGCCTTTGATATCTCCACTTCATCGACTCGTTTGTCAAAAAAGCAGTATACGATGAGCTTGTTCGACCACCTCCTGTCGGATTCGTCGCTGTCGAACGAGATCTCACAACTCATCCAGCCATTCTTTGCCCTGCACCAGCTCTCCAGCCAGGACCCGTCTGACCTTCCGTTCGTCCACCTTTCTGCTCTCTTGGCGGAAAGAATTGGCGAACACACCGACGCTGAGGCGAGTCTGCGGTTAGTTTGCGCAGGCATGGAAAGTGAATACGAAGTCACGGAATCCGCGTCGTCCCTTTCCCGATATGCACAGGCCAATGCAGACATTGCTCGTGTTCTGCTTGCGCGCCATGACTTCGAAGAAGCTGCTGAGAAGGCGGAGACAGCTCTTATGCTGTCTGGCGAGGAAGATGCCGAGAAGTTTGACCCAGAGACAAACCGCAAGTTGCGCCTGTCGGCCCATTTGACAGCCGGTCTAGCACACTACTACATGAAGTCGATGGACAACGCGATTGACATGTTCCGGGACGCCCTTCAGGAAGCCGACAACGCTCCGGAGGTGGTGTGCCTCCTGGCACAGGTTCTGTGGGCCAAGGGCGGAGAAGAGGAGCGGGCTGTGGCACGGCAGCAACTATTCGACTGCGTTGAGGAGAACCCCGACCATATTGGGGCTGTCACGCTCCTAGGAGCAATCGCACTCCTTGACGCCGATGCGGATGCCATCAATGCCGTCGAGTCCGATCTGCAGAATATGATCACAAGAGACGACATTGAGATCCATGAACGCGGCAAGCTAATCAAGCTCCTGACCGCCATCTCGACCCTTGGATTCACGGACAACTCTGGCGTACCCGAGGATGTCAGACGCGTTGGTGAGGCCACAGCAGCGGTGATGAGATCGCCGTACGAACCTCAAGGTTGGGTAGAGTTGGCGTCCGCCACGCAGGAACTGTACCCTGCGGAGATGGCGACCAAACGGGCAGCGAGGAGTGTCCCTCCCCGAAGCAACCTGGAGGCCATCGATCTCTCCGCCGCATACGCACAGACCGGAAAGGCAAGCGACGCGCTGCGGGCGATCATGGTTGCGCCATGGAAGCAGACTGGATGGGAGGAGTTGAACCACGCGGTCTCAACGACCAGCTAGACGTGTTGTAGTTAGTTAACTGTTACACACACATACACATATTAGTATAGATGCATACAAGCATTAGACACACTCCATCATCCACATCCCTCCAATAAGGGAACCAACCTACCACAATAACAAACCCAATCTACACCCCTCCATTAATCCTCCCCAACAACCTCTCCTTCCTCCCCTCCCTCCACTGCACATCCAACCCCTCAATCTTCCCTCCCAACACCACACAGGACTCCGGCGTAAGCATCACCAACCCCCTCGCAACCGTAACATCCCTCACGACGACCTTCGCCCCAATAGCCAGCTTCCCCAACCCAATCCCATTGACCTTCGCAAATTCCACCCCGACGGCCCTCGTCCCCGCCGCATCCTGCAGAATCAACCGATGCGGACCACTGCTATCACCTCCACCACCCCCGCCTGCTGCATTATTATTGTTGCTGTTCTCCGCAGCAGCAGCCTCACTATCCTCCCCCACATTCACCGTCCTCACAATTTCCCTCCCCCGAATCGCCTCCCCCTTCTCCACGCGCTCAATAGCCTCCACCTGGCTCCAGAGACTCGTGCCGATGTCTTCAATGTCGAGGACTTGGAGTGGGATGGGGCCGTTGAGACGGCGTTCTTGGATCGTGGGGTCGAAGATGTCGGTTGGGAGGAGGATGGAGGGGCTGCTGGTGCTGAGGGAGTCGCGGATGTCGGAGGTGAGAATGCGGAAGAGGGCGGTTTGGGTGAGGGCGCTGAGGGGGATGGTGCGTGATGTTGTTGTTGAGGCGAGGAAGGTGGTTAACCAGGTGGGGGAGACGGGGAGGGATTTGGTGGTGAGGAGGTGGGTGGTTATTTGGGTGTGAGGAGTGGAGGTCATTATTTTTAATAGTAGGGGTGTAGATCAATTATTAGAAGAATGAAGGTGCATCGTTGTGAGTTGCTGTTCGTCCTGGGGAGGAATGTAGATACTTAGTAGCTCTGATGGAAAATGTTTACTCTTCGTAGCTCCGATGCGGAGCGGAACGAATCCGGGGAACGGACCAGCTAGCTAGACTTACATCTGAACTCTCCTTATCGGGGCGATCTTTAAACCTTCAAACTAACTCCTTTCACGATTCACTACACAATACATACGCGCCTTTACCCTACTTTACCTTTTGACAATTGACATCCACGAAATCTTCAAATCGACATGTCCACCCTCTCCTCCCCCCGCCCCTCAATCGCCTCATCCCGCGCCCACTCTCCAACACCAACATCCTCGCACCGACCCTCCCTCGACACCCTCAACACCAACTACAACCTCAACAACCTCAGCGCCTCCTCTACCCCATCCACCGCCCGCGCTGTCTCTCCTTCCCTCCACCCCCGCCGCAACCGCGCCGCCCTCCGCGACTACTACAACCTCAAACCCTCCTCCGCAGCCGATCCCAACAATGACGGGCGCCGCTCACGCAGCATCCCACGGCACACCGACGCAGGCGACATCTCCAGCAGCAGTAGCGGTGCCGGCGGCCCATCCATACTATCCACAACAGGGACCGAGCTCGACAGCCCGGACTTCGATCCGCAACGCTACGTGAACCAGCTCCTCGCTTCGTCGTCGCTATCGACGGTCCTGAAAGCGGAGAATACGCTTGTCGGGGATATCCGCACGTTGGACAGTGAGCGCAAAGCATTAGTGTATGATAATTACTCGAAGTTGATTAGGGCCGTTGAGACGATTGGGAAGATGCGGAGGACGATGGATGATCGGGGAGCGCCGTTGACGATGACGAAGACGCTGGGCCCCGCGATTGCGTTTGTGGCGGAGACTGCTGGGGGTTTGATTCAGGAGGGGGAGGAGCAGCAGAGGAGGATGAAGGAGGTTAAGGAGAGTGAGGGGGGTGAGAGGAGGAGGGCTGAGAAGAGGACGGTGAAGTGGGTGCTTGCGGCGCCGGCGAGGTTGGAGAAGTTGTTGGAGGAGGGGAAGGGGGATGAGGCGGAGGGGGATTGGGGTGTGGTCAAGAAGTTGTTGGATAAGTGGGAGGGGGTTAAGGGTGTGAAGGAGGTTAGGGAGGCTTGTGAGAAGGTTATGGAGGGGAGGGAAGCTTGAGTGGGGAGATTCTATACCTGAGGGGTTTTTGAGACTGATCAACAGTTGGATTGGGGTTGATATGCCCAAAAATGCATGAGAGTCGCCTCGTGAAAGTCACTATGGTGCACCCATGTTCAGTTGAAGGGCCATCTTCAAGTTGGATTCATAACGTGGGCCTCAGCATGGTACAAGAGGGTACCTCGCTATGACCATTCAGCCACCTCCAGACCTCCAGACATTTGTATCATTCATCAGGACAGTTACGCAGCTCGAGCCGGTCTCTGAGCTACCACTTGTCGTCTGCAAGTCATTGAGAAAGCAATATAGATTAATGAAACCATATACCCACAACATGCATACATACCACGGTTCACATCACATCATATCCAAGCACAGATCAAATGTCCAAGACACCAAACCCAACCCCAGAATATCACAATCTACTTCTTCCCAAAATCCCGACTGGAGTACATACTCGCCCTCAACCCCCACACATTCCCCCCCTTGATATCCAAATGCGTATACGCATCACACTTATAATAAATCGGCCGACCATCCAAATCCACCAACTCCCAAGCCGCCATCTTCCTCAAAACCCTCTCCACATCAGCTCTATCCTCATAGTCCTTCGTATAGATACAAATCAACCTCGTCTTGTTTGAACCCCCTTCACCACCAGCAACAGCAGCAGCAGCAGCGGTAGCTACCTTCGCCCCGAACCCCAACTCCCCCTTCGCCGTAGCCTCCGCGACTACCCCCCACACCTCATCCACCTTCTCCGCAGAGACGAAAAGCAACCATTTACCGGACACCACGTTGGTCTTCTTAGCCAAAGCGAAGATCTCCCTTTCCAAATCCACACGGTGCTTGGTGAGTTCGCGCGTCAGCGCAGCAGGTGTCTGCGTCTTCTTTGGCTTCTTAGCGTGTTCGGCGCGCACCTGAGCGATTGCCTCTTCATGAGCATGGAGTGCCTTCGTCCCTTCTGCCACTAGCTTCTTGATATCTGCTTGCGGCTGCTCATAGCTATAACTAGTGGTATAGATCCAGGACCCCGTTGGGGATGTGGAGAGGGTAGATGATGGGCGTAGACGGGCGAGGAAAGATGAGATGGGTTCGTTGGGTGAGGGGCGGTTGTGTCTGATTGGGGTTGTGTCTGTGCTTGAGATGGGGACGTCGAAGTCGTGGGTGGGAATTGGGGTTGATGGGGGTTCGCTGGAGAGGTGTGAAGTTGTGAGGTCCATGGGCTCGGGTGCATCTGATGCATCTGCCTCTGGGGCTGGGGATGACGATGAGGGCATGGTTCCTCGGGCTGCAAGGACGTTTTGCTTGATGGTATTGTACTCATGAGGATGGATGTCTGTCCAGTAGTGGTCTGTGTCGAATTTGGACACTTCTTCTTCTAGACGTGTTGTCTCTTCTTCCGAACCTGTGGGGTTGGTTAGTTGGTGGGTTCGTTTGCGTGTAGGGGAGTACAAGCCGTAGAAACTGGATTCTTCTGATAGGTCTGGCATGGTGACTTTGTTAGACATCTGTGGTGAATATTTGATAGTGATGATAGGGCGAGATGTAGGATAGTAGATGGACGTATATGAATAAGGATGGGGGTAGAGAAAGAGTGATAGATCGAATGGGGAGAGGCCTGGTTGAATGAGGCTGAAGGTGGAACAAGTGAAGGTGACTGGGGCTTGTCACTCCCACCCACCACTGCCACAGTCACTGTGCCATTTATGGGTGAATTAGTGGTCTGGCGTTTGCCTATAAATTTGCAGTCTTTTCCTGGTTCTTCTCTTCTTCTCTTCTTCATATTCCTGGTTGGTCATCTCCCCTGCAGGCATTTTATATGGACTGGACTTTCTTACTGCCCTGGTTTCATTAGTGATAGACAAGCCTTGGTCAACTAATATACCCTATGAAGAAAACAAAACTGCCTTTCTTAATCTGATAACAATAACGCAAGTACGCCTTACTGCTGTGCTTGATGATTCTGGCATATGGAACCTGATCCTAAATAGTGGCTTGGATTCAAAGGAATGACCCAAGTTCCTGAAAAGTTTACCTGATCATACTGATAGTCGTATCTATGAAAACAGCACTCTGCAGAGATCATTCCAATTTCCATTATATCTTTCATTCTATATGTTCTCTTCAAGTCGAGGCCTTGGTGGAGGACAGCAAAACGCATTGGGGCCCTGCTCAATAATTCTACAGTCGTAATGCAAGATATTATGCCCTAAATCCCACGAGGACTGTCTTATTAAACTTCTCATCGAACGAGGCCTACCCTGTAGTTGCACTGAATGTGTACTACCAGCACAAACCCATTTCGGGCCGTTGCAGGCCGATAGTTGGTCAAGATACGGCTCTTCAGCAATACTTGACGAGATCGAATGTGCAGCCTTACGAGAACCATCCGGCTGTAACTTTCTCGCCCCATCAATGAGATACGCCGAGGACGACAACAGGAATGCGTCTACAGAAACCAGCTGCCGCATCTATACCGATAAAAGCAACCTTCACTAGGGACAACTGACAGGAGAAAGCTTCACCCGAGAGATGAAGTAGAGCATTGAACAATGTGGGTCGAATGAGAAGCTATGTCCTCGTGGCTAGGCTTCACATCTACTACCGCATGACAGACGTGGACAATACATCTAGCCTGCTGATCGAGTTCAAGACTCTTTCTGAGAAGCCATGATAATGAATTAAGCTTACCTGCGGAGACAAGGCAGGAAACCCAACTAGTATTCTATAAGCTGGCTAACCAATACTGCACATTGCGATTGCACATATATCGTCAGAAGCTAACGATGACCCTGGAGGTTTCTAGAATGCGATACTTTCCATTATCCAGCACGTCGCCTTGATAAGTGGACAGGTTGTGGGACAAGAAACAACATGCGCTGGTGCCTATCGATGTTGACTTCAGCTCAGTGAATTGATTCTTCGGGAAAGCCTTGTACTGTTCCACCAGTGTATGGAAAACTTCAGCAAAAAATGAGCATTGTGCGCCCTGCTTTCTAGGGCTAGAGTGCAGTGGATGGGTCCAGATGATTGATCCATGCGGGAAATGTTATACCTCGAAGATACAGGGACAGCGCTACGAACAAAAGGTAGTATGTCAGGGTATTACACTGTCATCATTATTATCTCCATCACCACTTCTCCAACCGCCTGCTATGTGCCAAGTGCGGAGCAGACTTAACGCGAAAGGGTTGGTGCACCTTATCGGGAACCACAAGTAGGAGCAAGTTGAACTCCTATCGACTCTCTCCAGAGATGACTGTGGAATAACAATTGAAGAACTCCAGGAAGCCACTGTCTCGCTTTGTGGGACCGTTTATGATGGCAGACTAACATACAACGACAGTGACAACCTAAATGTTATAAAGCCGGATATGCCTGCTGACTGATAGTGGCCAGAAGGAGGGCGGACAGATAATCGAGCCCTATTATACCAAAACGCTAACATGAAAACTCGTCTTTACCTACACGAGTCATTGGAAAGCCACTCACTCTATAACTTCAATTGCTGTTCCGCAGGTTCTGTTGCACTTTAGAATGGACCAGAAGCAATAGCGGCTTGCGATGGGGAGCGGACAAGCTCCGCAAGCTTGAATTTATGCTTGGCGCTTGCCCTGATAATTACTCTGGTATATAGTGACCGGGTACGCATGACAATGACGGAATTTTACCCGATGCTGAGGACACGCAGGATCGCCCCGATCGATGACAAACATCTGGCCCTGCTGTCGGGAGCTAAAGATCGAGCTTCTCCTCATTTCTGTTCCTGACTGAATGGCTCCCAGTCAACAACACCTTGAAGCGAACGTGACTTTCGGAAGACCCAAGTAATCTTGGGGAAGTCGTTCAACTCGGGGAGTTGGAAGAGATGAACATTGTTGCGTGATATGAAGGTCGATCTGGGTTTTCTACGTTTCCTTGGCCTGAGAACTTACTCGAGCACCAAAGACTTCACTCTAGGAACAGCAAATGATGCTTACAAGCCATACGGGTTGACCTCATATCTTATTGATTTTCTGACGTACTCTGCGGAGTGATTTATTCGAAACTACCATGGAAGCGCCACGAATATGTTACCAAAACCTTCGTTGTCTCATAGGTCTTAATAGCCGCTGCTCCAAGGAAATGACATTTATATTTATCCGGTCATAAGCATCTATCCTAGCAAAATAGTTCGAGATACCTATGTGGCTCAACTATGCAAGCGCTAGCATAGTTTAGTATTTGCTGTCGAACCTGGCTACCTGCAAACATGCATTCGGGTAGTCTCTGAAGCAGATGCAGAAACCTCTTTGCCCCCTTTACTTACATATATCGAATCAGAAAAGTAATACTCCTCTTCTGTTCATAAAAGGACATCCCACTGAAGTGAGTTATGACCATTAAGAAGAACAGTTACATTATTCCCGTATGGCATTAAAAGTTGACAACTCACATAGGTTATCCACAAGGCCATTTTTCTAGCCGGCAGTTTCTCCAGGGCTGATCCCCGCATAAGCAACCGCGTGGAGAAGAAGAAGCTCAAAAAGGCGCACAAAGGCATGTCGAACATGTCGAAGCGAGATCATACTTTTTCGGAAGATTCCATCCAAAGAGGAAACTCATGGCATTATTCGTGAAGTTGCTTGGGCCCACTGTGGCTGGAAAACATGGAGTACTTACCTCTATTCATCGCTGACTACGCTCGAAACCCGAATACCTCGTTGAAGCCAGCAGCCATTCGATAGAGAACACACAAAGATAACTCTAATAGGCAAACTTCAAGTGCAGCACCTAGCGATGAAGCCAAAGGCCATATCCGCGGTCTGTTCGCCCAAACCGGGAATACCAGAGACTTATTGAACTACAAATCAACGCTCGGTAGTTGTCTGTTCCTGGTGCGTATCAGGAGATATACTTTGACTCGCATACTGAGAGCTATTAGCAGCAATGCAATCTGATATGCCCATCGAACAGTACACATCTTTGTTATTGCAAGGGCTAACATCTCTGCTCTGCTATTCGGATGTCACGGGCTGTTGGGGGACTTCCCCGTGCTAAGAGTTTAGACCAAACATCAAGGAGATATATCAAGGCTTGCCATTTTAGCCATACAGAATGACATGGGGCGATATTTCTATGGGAAAAGAAACTAACCATCCACGACGTAGATCCAATTTGCCCTTCGGACGATTGCTAATCCAACAGCAGATGAAGACTAAACGTGCTCCGCCTTGATAGAACAATGGCTTCGACAATTTTCAGGAGAAAAACATTTATCAAAGCTGACTTTCCTCTAATTAGCTCTGGTGGGTGCAGAATGCTAAGATCTTAAGCAGAGATATATGAGGGGTACTTTAGAAGAGCAAGAAGCAGCTAAACACATTCCCGCTCGAAGTGAAAAGAGGCCGGCAGTTCTCCAGAGGAGCTAATCTTTGGACAGAGAATTTGTCACTCTCGCCAGGATTTAGGGTATAAGTTTCTTGTCAAGCTGGGATAGTCATGATCGTTTCCTGCTCGATATTGCATCTCTTTCACCAATCATTGCATATTCCAAGTCCACATCGATTCTGCTTGTGATACAAGTATTGGAAATAACAGTGACTATATTGTGTATCCTAAATATACCTTCAAACACAGTCCGCTGGCTCGTATGAAGGTTGTACAAACTCTCAGCAAGAGAAAAAGTGCAGCAGAAGAGATTATGTGTCCTTCCGTTCCTAATATTGCGTCTCCTTGTCGTCAACGCTAAGGAGACCATTACATACCTAAGACATCCAAAGATGCAGAGTTAATGCCTCACGGCCAACAAGTTGGATGGACCACAAATCTAGTCCACAAACTCGCTACTGACTCGGTGAACAGTGAGGATGTTAATCGGTGTTCCTCAAACCACAGACACACACTTTGGAACTACGCAACCACCGACGGTCAAACGATCGCAGAACATAGCATACAGCTCTTGCTCCAGTTGGCGGATTGCAAGGTCAAGTTAAAGCGTGTGAAGGATACTTTCGTTACGTACTACACTAAACTGACCCAGGCCGAACGAGTAGGAGAAGGCGTTGGTCGACGGACCCAAGACACTGTTTGCTATCAAGGAGCTTCAGCATGGCTAATGATGAAGAACCAACCCAGTTAGCAAAGTCCTTCGAAAGCAATTTTACTACGCCTGCCATATTTCGGCATTTCTTCGCTGTTGGAAAAGATATACTGGATTATGATAACTCGCGTGAGCTGGGCACGTGGTTTCTCAAATGTATGTTATTTAAGGCTTGGTATAAGTAATTATTCCCACTAAATGAACTAGGGTACTTTGAGGTGAAGCTATGGGACGACATTGCTGAGACGGATGACTGACGACTGGTTGATGATAAAGGTGTTGTGTTTACCTTGTATACTTCATAGAATGCATGTCTACATGATCTGAATCATTAACATATGCTGTTTGAAGTCATATGCGTTGACTATACCGACGCGCGGCTCGCACAGAGACCTCTCGAGCGAGTCTAAGTATCGCTTCACAGTATGTATAGTATGCTCAACGATGATCATAAAGAGTATGTCTACAAGGCAGCATGGAAAGCCTACTCCAGTGAATGGTCTGAATGGAAATACCATGTTCGATGAATAACTCGTAAAAATTGAAACAAGATTCGCTTTCGTCCAAAGTCCCATAACATGTAGCTCAGCCTGCACTGTGCCGTTATCAAGGCAACAGGCAAAGGAATGAATGGTCCAACCGTGATAAAAAAGGATGTTGCGCTTCTGAAGGCTCTCAACTATGGTCGTGACTAGTGAGAGGGCAATCTATCCTTGAATGATACATACAACTCGAATGGTAGAAATGTAGAATAAACATAGGCTACTAGTGCAGCCTTGTGGGTAGAGAGTGGCCATTCTTTTAGTAAATCTGAGTTCCCAGTCCTTAAATCCGCTAAAAAAAAAAAAAAGGAAAAAAACAACGCCAATTGAAACGAGTGTCCGAAAACTAATCCAACAGATTCGACATTTCGTCTGCAGCATAAGTGAGCTACCTAGAACGGTGGCATCTGCGTTTGGTTGAACATGTACATGCTCTCATCTGGGAAGTTGTTGTTGTTGCCATTGGCAGCAGTGTCGAAGAGCATGCTGTTCATGATGGAGTCATCGTAAAAAGCTCCAATGGAGCTAAAGTCCATCTGGCCAGGCTGGTACATATGCTCACCGTACCCGAAGGAGGCGTCCTCGAAGAAGTCTGTCGTTCCGTTGAGAGGGGCAAAGTCATTGTCGGTATACAAGACGCAGTCTTCGTGCTTCAGTTGGGAGTACGGGTCCTGCAACGGCAACATCGGGTTTTGCGAATAGTTGTTGACAAATCCCGGGGATTGGAGAGGGCCCGTTGCCGGTGTGCTGAGCTGAGCGGGACTGACTTGGGGTGGGCTCATTTGAACCGAGCTGCCCTGATCCGGACTCATCTGAAGGGAGAGCATTTCGGCAGGACTGGCACGGTCGGGGGTCATTTGGAGTGGACTCATATGGTCCGGGCTCAATTGGAGAGGGCTCATATGGTCAGCATTCATTTGCAGCAAGTTGACCTGGTCCGGAGTCATCTGCAAAGAGCTGATATCCGAAGCCATTTGGAGGGAAGCCAACTGAGCGGGGGCCAGCTGAACAGGGCTGACTTGGTCAGGGCTCATGTGCAGTGGGCTCGAATGAGCCGTGCTGTCTTCAGCTGGACTGGCGCGAGCCGAAGTAGCCCGCCGCTTAGCATTGCGTCCATTGTTCTTGGCACGCACATAGTTCCAACCGTGAGCCTTCTCCATGTGCTGCTTGCAGTTACTCTCTCTCTTCGATTTGTATGCGCAGCCGTTGAACGTGCAGGCGTACATGCGGGGAGTGGTCGAATGACGATCGTTGACGTGACGCTCGTTCTCCTTCTCGGTAGGCCATCCAAGCTCGTGGTACTTGCATCCTTCAAAGGGGCACTTGAATGGACGCGAGTGCGTTTTCTCATGTTTCCTGTAGAACCGTCAGTAGCCGTATAAGTTGACTCTACACAAATACTTACGTCAAATCACAAGGTCTCTGGAAGATCTTGTCACAGTGAGAGCACTTGGTGTTGATGTTCATGGGGGGAGCGTTCTTCTTGCGGCGAGCCATAGACCGCCTAGCACCCTCGTCCGCTTCATTCAGACTAAGTGTACGCTTCACCAAGGGTGGAGCGTGGGCATCATAAGCCTCACCAGTCTGCATAGAGACCGCCTGGCCTTCCTTTTGTGCGACGAGCTCAAGAGGACGTCCCGTTTGGCTCATGCCGCCCTCCAGGGTCAATTTGAGCTCACTGAGCTGGTCAGTTTCTGGTCTCTGCCTATTGTTTAGGGAGTAAACATACGATGCCTCTTTCTTGTTCTTGCGAGCCTCGTCCCGCATGGCCTTGAAACGGTGGACCTGGGCAGTGAGGTCGAGAAAGTACGAGTTGCTGTAGCTCTTATCCGTAGGGATACACAGGTCCCGGGGGTCCAGGTGAGTGTACGTCTCACTCAGACACAAGATAGTAGAACTGCAGAACTGGTAGTAAGAGCCAACCTCCGCTTCCACGTCCTGGAAATTTGTAAGTGGCATGCAATTTGATGCTAGTGTTCGAATTGTGCTTACAGCAGCTCCGTGGAGGAGAGACTTCTCAAGATCACGAAGAGTACCAATCTGCTTCTTCTCGATCTGCTCGCGAGCGCTCTCGACAAGGTGATGGAAGGGCTTGCAAAACTCCTGCCCGAGTAGGGGGGCGAGGATTCGCTTTTCAATCTCCTCGCTTGCGCTGAGGCTGAGGTTTTGCTTCGAAGCAGATTCCGGCTCAACAGCCATTAAAGAGCTAGTGATAGCCGACTGTGTGCGCGTGACTGTCTTTGAGCGGCTCTCTTTGGCTGCAGGCAAAATTAGATTAAAATGCATGTCAGGAGCCTGTAGCAATGGTAGCTCACCTTGGCGTGCGGATGCGGTCTCACAGCTGCTAATTGATGTTCCTAGACCACTATCAGAAGGGTGGCAGTGCACCTTCCTGACCTTGGTCTGCGAATCCTTCCTCGAGGGGCCTCTGCGTAGGTCGTAATGGAAGGAATCTCCTTTGCCGGATTGTGAGCGCTCGAAGTGAATGTCAAGATAACCCCTGGGAACTGGGAGGCCGTCGCGCTCTTGTCGAGGCGCTGAGTCGCTAGAATCTAGGTCGAAGCGACTCAAAAGTTTGTTCATACGTTGCTGACCGGCGAGAATGGCTTGAAGGGCAGCAGGGGAGGTCGAGGAGCGACGAGGTGAGCAGGCTAGGTCCGCGAGGGGATCCTCATCATCGGACGAAGAGGGGCTTTTCGAGTGAAATGTTTGATTCTTCTTCAACTGATAGCGCGAGCGCGATGCATGAACGTCTGCCGTGGAGGCGAGCGATGGAGGTCGTGAAACATGACGTCCCCGGCGGGGGTTTTGAGACTTCATGGCGTCTGGATTCCGAATGGTATTCATGGTGGGCGAGTAGCGGAGCAGTGGTCGAAGGCACGTTACTGAGTATGGCGCACCCCTCTTCCGCGGTGACTCACTTGTCCGGTATGTTTGCGGATAAGAACTTGGGAGATCGATGAATGTACACTGTTGATGCGGCTCTAATGACGTACGGTGCTGGCGATGGGCTGATTCGAAGAGATAGAAAGTTAGTTGGTTTTAGGACGGTCCAGGAGAAGGGAAAGGGGGTAAGTGATGGAGCTGGGGCTGAAAGTCGGAGGAACTCACTAGGACTGGGGCTCAAGGGGTGTGGTTCTGACCGACAATGGTATTTCGAGGATCACGACTCAAAGTGAAGGGAGAAGGGGGTGACGGGAGGCCCCGGGCGGCTTATGGTGAAAACAATCAACACCCCTTACGATGAAAACAAGCAACGAGAATGGGATCTAGGCTTATGAATGGCCTAAAACGGACGCTATACAGGAGGGTTTGGGGGGGAGGTGAATAATGAATACGGATAGCGGAGATGATAGAACGTGGAAGGAAAAGGATGGGGTCAAGTATGGATCATGGCACTTGGAAGGTAAGGGAGACTGAGGCTGTTCATCCGGGCTGAGTCGTCTTCGATGTCTGCCTGATAGACGAGTTGCGCTAGCCTAATCTAGGGATAGTCGGAGAGTAAGACAAAATTCCATTGGATGGACCATCTCGCATTGCCCCATCGGGGACGATTCTCTTCGACGGCCAAGACGGTAATTCATTTACACGCTTTGCGCCTCAGGTTGGTGTGTAAGTTACGGGCGGATGGTAATACTACATCCGTGATCGGGGCCGTTATCTCCCGTTCTCCGCTTCATCCGGGTCCCGCTCTCACCAGGGCTGGCCAATAATAGCGCAGCGTAATTCCAACTGGAGTGGGGGCTCATACCGGGACTGCCGAAAATAGAGACCAACGGGGTCGATAGAACTAACAGTATCCATACGCTCCAGAACCTCGGAGGAACTTTGGGCAATTTAAACTTTGTCCTGGGCTTGCTGTCCTTTTCCTTTGAGATCTCGTAGTCGTATGGTTGTCCCTCCGTAGTAGAATGGTCGATGTTTGTTCGGGGTTTGGGACACGGCTCGATCTTGCTTCCGTACCAAACAAAAGCAACCAATTTATCAACACCTGCAACGATGTATCTCAGCAGGAGCACTTCATTAATTTACTAATCGCGCAAACTGTCATCCGCCAACACGATACCTGTTGAGAGCCAATCAGAAATTCCGTCTCCGCTTACTGTTATCATATGATACAGTACCACTGCCCGCCTCCGGGAGTACTAACTAAGTACTAACAAGGTAATAACCGACTACGAAAGACCTACCTACTTGGGTAACCAACCCCAAAGACGGAGCTAAGAAAGGGACAACACCAACATGGCCGAGCTTTGCACTGACCTTGGCCGTGGAGGACCGAACCGCGGAGGTCGCTGATGCCATTGGATCTGTCTTTTATGACAGGCTGATCTTTTCTGAGCCAATCCCCAACCGCCTCGTAGCCACCCACGTAGCCTGTGTTGAATCTGATGCACCAAATTTTCGCAGACCAGCCTCAGCATTCGTAGATCCTTGTGCTTCCCGTCTAACTACGAAGTACATTGGAGGATATGAGCCTCATTGTTATGACGATGAGGTGCATGGCAACCCCCTCAAATGCCAACAACATCTCAGTGATTGGAGGGTCTCTAACCACTTGCAGCAGGGCAACAGCCAATGACCATGAAAAGAGTCGCTTTCCTAACAGTTCCGCTGACGCGCGGGAGTCAATCTCTTCCTCGCCCTACATAAACTGTCGCAGACTTGAGTATTTGTGTGACAGGCCTCCGTGTTTTTATTCATTGCTTTGTCGTTCTCCGACCGGGACGCCCTTGAATACGAGGCTAGTAGCTGGAAAACTCGGCAATCCCAAAGTGAGACATTATCAGACCAGGGAGGACAGACCATTAAGAGGACCAGTAGAATAAAGTGGTGTTAATTCTGGAGCCCAGCGACCTGGAATCTGCTTTGTACTTCCAGTCTGAAGTACTAAGTCGTGGATGTCACGGCTTCTTGGTGTCTGCTGCGCCACAATCAGGACCAAGATATGAGGCCCCAAAACCTGTCATGTCTTTGCTTCTTCCCTTCTACGACCAACAGAATGTCGAACTCTGCAAGCACTAAACTAAATGCGGGATGGGCGTTTATTCCACCCGTTTCTATATATTATATTGTGCTCTTGCCGCCGTCGAAGGCAGCACAATTTTTGACGGAACATGGACCGGATCCCCCTGTCGGTCGTTGAAAGTTGACTTTGTCTATCGAACATTCACTAGTTGCAGGTACTATACATAGCAGACTGCCTGGTTGTAGTCGGAGCTTTTGTTTTAGCAGGATCATCAATTGGCCTGTCTCGTGGTTTATCTGATGATCTTCTCACCACTTTGGGCTCATTGCAGTTCATGTCAACTATCTGGCGTCGAAGTGCAGGAACATTGTTCTAGGACCTGAACGGCTGCATCTCCATTCACCCACCTACTGGTGAGACGTGTCCTGTCTCGCGGTAACCAACAGGTACCAGAATTTATTTGCCTGTCACTCCCCTCCGATGTAGATCCATTCATCTGTGTGTGAAGCGCCATCTTACCTAATACCACCTACTTCTAAGGGGCTGTTCCTGGACGTCTCTGCTTCAGTGAGAGTAATCAGGGGTTCAATATCCTGGGAACAGGACCAGAATGAATGCAGAAGGGGCTGGCTTAGTGACGTGGAACGTGGGTTTAGAAATCCTCAGAATTTGGACCCAAGCGGAAATTGTTTCTGTGACAATTCCGATACCTTCACACTTGCTCATTTATTCACTGGGAAAAAAAAAAAAAAAAAAAAAACGCAGTATCTCAGTATGGTACATTGTTGTCAACCCGCAGCTTCCCCGTTAGCGAATAGTATAGTATTTTGAGGCTGTCTCAAAACATCCACTTTACCATCAATATGCTAGTCCTTATTCCCTCTAGACTTCCTCTGGCAAACATTGGGTCATAGCTTGTCTCGGTGCAACACGATCTACTAACTTCAAGGCGAGCATTAATGGAACCCCTTATTCGCTTTGGCTAGCTCCCTAAGAAGAAGCACTCTTACCCGCTATGGTTTCCAAGCATCCTGCCCGACCCCTCCGAGGACTATTCTGAACAATACAATGGACTCCCACTTTGATCTACAAGAAGAAAGCAAGATCTTGCATCTTTCTACACCTGTCGTCGGCATATTTACTCCTCTCTCGTGGAAGATTCCGCGGTCAGGGGGTCTCTCGGGACTAATTCGGACACTAAGGGAATTTGACTCTACGCTACTATCCTAGGAGCTTCCCTGAAAAAGGCTTGCGAAAACTTTGACAGCACACTTGCTGCAAAAGGAAACTTAGATGATCGTCTCTTTGATTTGGGTATCAACTGATATTTGTTTTCTAATTTGAAGCTAGTTCATCCAGATCGGGAATGGATAGGGTAGTTACTAGCACGGGCTCGTTTGTATGAGGCTTTTCTGATCAAAAAGGAACGACATCCGTGTTGGAGGCCAGCTACTGCAAGACCCTAGTACCAGGGAGAGAAGAAGGGGCTAACGCGGTCCGTTCTAGATCTGAAGATGGTATTATTGAGCCAATGGCTGATAGTGCAGCGGTCTACAGTACTAGGTAATCACACGATGGCCCGGCCTGGACGGAGGGTGGGTGTTGTGTTTGCTTCTTCGATGCTGTCGCCAATACTTCAACCAACTGCGATCAAGAGGGCAATTCCGATCACGACTGCGGCGAGGGACATTCCTACCTCCATGGACCTCAATAGCACAACATGTAAAAGCACAGCTGTTTCCGCGAGCCTCGATCTGGTCGCATATGCTGTCTCGAACATGAGGCTCCACGGTTTGTGCATCACATATCACCGAATATAGGGCGAGTATCCTCCAGGTCGATCTTGGAATGTAGCCGCATAGCTGAACCACTTCAGCCCGAGGCTAAGCGAGTCTTGCATTGAAATCTAGGGGCAACCAATAATCCGTGTGGTGTTCGTCGGGTCCGCATGTCGGTTACACAGCAAATGTCGGTCAGTCCTAAGGATGGCTGGATCTTCGTATTAATCGACGCATATCGGGCAGATGGCCATCATTGATACATGCTGCCTCCGTTTACTTCCAAGGGCGCACCCGGCGCAATGGGTCGATTGCGGATGTGGTCGCACGGATTGCAGAAAAAAAGGGCCCGGCTACCAGTCGTGCGGCTCCTGGTTTCCGGGGTCATCCTCGAAACATGGAGTTCAGCTTTCCACTGATGTTTCAATTTTTGCTTTGAAAAACCGCACAATAACTGTAGTAATAAAGAGCTTGCTCCCAAAAATCGGAGGCGAGGGGTCTCTTTGCAACCCAGATACACAATATTGACCCAAAGTCTTCAAAGATGGTTGATAGACTCCGAGTGAGTGGAATTGTGGAACATCGGCTAACCTTCTTTGTCACATACCGCATACCGCCGGTCGTGAGTGGTATGAATTTGATACATAATAACATTTCAGGTTTCCTACGGAGGGTGCTTGAGTAGAGCACAGCACCATAGTACAAATCTGGCCATAAGAGGTAAATTGGATGCCATATTTGTTATATACTATTCAGGAGTAGGGTCATACAGATACAGCTTCTAACGACAAAGCTTATACCATGCACTACATCATTCATTCTGGCCTATGCTACAAGGAAGACTGTTATGCCATAATGTTCAACAACCTGCCATATTTTGCTCAGAAGACCAAGGCAACTTATCGGATACATAAGGGCTTGCAACGCCTATGAGGTTCCCGGGTCATGCACGGTACTATTGGGGGACCGGGATACATAATCTGCACTTCGTATCCATCTCAGATTGTCTAACCTGATGGCTTGGTCTGTAACCAATCTGTCCAGCATCATTTTGCTCCTTGAAATCTTTCATTGGTTAATAACGTTGTGGATTTGCTGAGTTCAGCGGCAGAAGATCGTAGTTTTAGCTGACGTATCAACAGCAGATGCTGTCTTGCCGCTTACTGCGAAACGAGTAGCCAACGACACAGCTACTTGTCAATTCAAATATGGGACCTATAAGGTGTGTCTGGATTTGCTCTTTTGAGAGCTAGTCACGCTGACTAGATATCAGCAGCTCGCGATACGAGCGCCATCAACCCGCAATGTACTTTGCCTGCCTAACATGACTGAAGCCATTGGCATCCCACTCATCTCAAAGTTATTTGTTTGCCGTCGTGGCTCGTAGGCATGTCTCGGATATAATCCAGGGCCCGTTTATCTGGACCAAGGATACTCCTAACCCTATGTCAGTCTGTATCAGCGTATGTGTGCCCTGTCTGATCATAGTGAGCTTGAGAGTCTTGCGAATGCTGCCTGAGACCTTCGTATTCTCTGTTCCCTAGGATGCCTCTGTCCCAATATCTGCGTCCGGAGTTAACCATTGATTCCACATTAGAATACCCCGAGCCTTCTGGGTCCGGAGTAACCATTTATTTCCGAATTAGAATATCCCGAGTCTTCCGAGAAACCTAGGATATATACATGTCAAGTTGAAAGATCAGGACTGACGGTTCATTCTAAACCAGGAATTCCACACATTACGAACCCGGCAGCAGCCGACGTCCAATTACATAGAACTTATCGAATAGTATACTACCATATCTGACCTCGCTTGTTCTGTTTAACGCAAGCCACAGCAATGCTCCAGGGAATGTCCCTTCGAACATCCAAACGAACTCGTAGCTTAGTGGTCCAAATCCGTATGAACAAGCAAAGCTGCTCGTTAATGAGTTGCCTCATTGTCAGAGATCATTGCTGCAGCATGATGCCCGCCCAGTTTGGTTAAGGACATATCTCACTGCTTGCTTTTCTTAAATAGTAGACACCCTCCGTCCTATGGTGAACAAGTTCACATCTATAGTGGTAAGACTCGAAGTCTTCGCTAAAGCCTAGAGGACCGTCCAAAATGACTCTCCAGACCTATCTTATTGCTATTATCACTTATTTCGGATTTCCGTCCTTCCATGGAACTCAACAACCCTCGCTGCAATACCCATTGCAGCTCGATGATGTAGATCTTACGCCGCCTGCTCCCAAAGACCTCTCTTTCGTACCCCCTGGTGCCGCGGAAGAGACTTTTGGCGAGCCTTTTAGGTGTCACTATCCTTCCATGGCAGCTGAGTATACATACAATCCTACGCCGGAGAACCGAAGCGTCTGGCTCAAGCATCGGACCAATTCTTCGCTGGACTTTGACATAAACACGGACTATGAAGCGAGATGGCCTGTTGGGATTGAACGCAAGGTATGTTCAATTAGACCCTGCTCCTCTGAAGTACATTACCAAGATTAACATGGCCTAGTATATTCTCACAGTGGGCGAACGATCTTTGAATCTGGATGGTATTGAATTTCCCTATGCCAAGGTCTTCAATAATAGCTACCCTGGTCCTTGGATCCGTAAGTGCCGCCTTATCCATAACTTGTTAGAATATTGCTCATAAGACTAGAGGCATGCTGGGGAGACTGGATAAGTAAGTTGTGTGCATACCTTGCCTTGGCCCACGCTTACAGCACTAGACATCACCGTCAAGAACAATCTCAGGAGAAACGGGACCGCAATCCATATGCATGGCCTCCGGATGCTAAGCAATGGTCTCATGGATGGGGTGCCTGGGGTAACTCAATGTCCCATAGCACCTGGAGACACCTTCAACTATGTGTTCAATACAACCCAGTATGGCACAACATGGTACCATAGTCACTACAGTCTTCAGTACTCCGACGGTGTGTTGGGGCCATTGACCATTCACGGACCGACATCGGCAAACTTCGACAAAGCCATTGATCCCATCATCTTCACGGACCACAACCACCAAAGTGCCTTCCAGTTGTACTACCAAGAGCAGTTTGCGAACAATTCGACTCGAGTCCCACCGAAGCAGACTAGTATCCTGCTTAATGGACATGGTATGTCGGGGTAGTCTTTTTCCCGCTGTCACATCATATTTTGTTTTAATATAGTATAGGGAGCTATGCTGGCTCTTTTCCGGAGAGAAGATACCACAAGAAGGTTCAACCTGTAGGCAACCACCGCTATCATTGGTCACCTTTACTCAGAGCTAACTGATACTTAGGGCAAAAAATACATTCTCAGACTTATCAATGGGTCAACCGATACGACCTTCATCTTCAGCATTGATGGTCACAACCTCACAGTGGTCGGTATGGATCTAGTGCCGGTCGAACCCTACACGACAGACCATATATATGTTGGAATAGGTGTGTCTTCGCCAAGTGTAGTTAAAGCCGTAGCTTATTCTAACGGAACCCAGGCCAGAGATACCATATCCTCCTCGAGACCAAAACCGACTTCAGTGACTCCATGAACATGGCATACTGGATCCGAACTGATCCCGCCACCGGGTGCCACAACTTCGAAACCATCCCAGATGCCAGACAGGGTATCCTCTGGTATGGAGGCGGCTCACATCCACCGATCCCGACAACGACCGCACACGCATACAACAACACCTGCAGTGACATGCTGGATTTGGTGCCAGTCGTCCCGTGGACAATAGAAGAGCCACCCCCCATCATTCCAATGGTAAAGTATACCATGGCACAGTCGCCTATCGAGACAATGAGCGTTACCATTGGCCAATGGAACCTCTCAGCGGTGGGAGATGACCCCGAGGTGACTGTCAACTACTGGAAGTTCCTGAACGATACTCTTTGGGTGAACTACGCGGAGCCAACAGTCAACCACCTCGATCCTCCATATAACAGTAGTGAGGTCATCTACTTGGCCGCTGAGACTCAGCCCGCGCAGACCACATGGAACTACATGCTCATAATCGGGGGTAACATCGTCGCTACGCCCCCAGTAACTGGAGGCAATTTGGCACCCAACGCACATCCAGTAAGCTTTTTCTCCCCACCCCCCTTTTTGCAATACGCAAGTCGCAGCATCCTTTAACTTGTGTCACCTAAGATCCACCTCCACGGCCACGACTTCGCCGTCCTACAATACTCCACCGACAAGTACAACAGCAGCGAAGATCTAGACCTGAATCTGGAAAACCCACGCCGTCGCGATGCCGTCCTTCTCCCACAAAATGGCTTTATTGTGATTGCATTCAAGACCGACAATCCAGGCTCCTGGACTCTACATTGCCATATTGCATGGCATGCTTCTGCGGGTTTGGCTTTCCAGGTCCTGGAAGAGCAGTCGGCTTTCAAGGCGGGTATTGAAGACTCTACTGTTGCGAGAATACAATTGGATCGGACGTGTCAGAATTGGGATGTTTGGTTTGCGAATGCTTCGAATCATTGGAATCCGAATGGGAGGTTTCAGGATGATTCGGGGATTTGAGGTTTGTGTTTGCGAAGGATAATTGAGAGTCAATAAACGTGACTGATGCTAACAGCAGCGAAAGAAACGTGGTTTCATTTCTTTTGTCAGAGTTGTGCTATAGTTGTACGTTCTGGTGCTGGCAGTATTATAGTAGTATGATCTTGTTCTTGAATATATTTGATGAAGCACGCAACACGGTGGTAATAGACGGCTCAAGATATATATTCAATATTTACAGATCGAATTTGCTAGATGACTAGTTTTTATCACTCGTACTGGCCATCTCCAGGAATGAGCCTGTACAGTAGAAGAATACAATGGAATTTAATGCTACCATACCTAATCCTAGGAATGTGCACAGCAGTCCATGTGTCAAGAGTGGATCAGGGAGAGACCCCAAAAGTTGGGGAAAGAAGGAAGATCTTGTGAACCTCGGCATCGGGAAGAGGCAGAAACGAGGGCGGGCGGTGCCGAGCAACAGTAGCTGCTGCGGCGGCCTCGTCGTTCTCCCCGGACTTGTGTCGCGACTCTCCGCTTCTCTCTTCCTCTGCACACTAGTTCCATCGGTGGCTTTCTCTTCCCTTTCCTTCCATTATCCTGAGTCGCTACTGGGCGAGGAATGTGACCACTTCTCCCTTCTCTGTGTGGCAATTCCTCCTTCCCCTCATCTTATCTTGTGTCGCGGAAAGACACCACCCATCACTCCCCGCCCAGCACACGGCAATTGACCAGACCCGCGCCTCCGATCATGGACCTCGAACACCGTCACTTCAACAACTCAGACCAGCCCAGGCGGCGGAGACGGAATGCAGTGAGACGACGGATGCGCAATCGAGCACCCATCTCCGCCCGTCTCTCGCTCGATCCTCAGCTCCGCGGGAATGTCGGGGTTGTGTCCGAGGATCTGGCCGGTGGCCTCTTTCACACTTCCGGTAAGGGAAAAAATAACCGCACGAGGGTTGTACTACTCCGCTGACTTGGAATTCACCGACTATGTAGAAGGGACTGGAAAGGAAACAGACATCCACTACATCGCCATCTCGCCGTACCAACCGGGCGCGAACGCGGTTGAGGATCTAGCCTGGACCATCATTCCCGTTCGGCCGCAGTCCAAAGAACGCTCTTCCCAGTCGCCGCTCCCTCACTCCACCGTCCTTTTCCCAAGCTCGGCGGCTTCTCTGCAACCATTCACCGATGCCCTGAGCAAGCTTGATCCCACTCGTCATACCCTCCAAGCACAACGTCCCATTGAGATTCAGCTGTTGGATGTTGCGCCTCTACCTTTGGACACCATCTACGTGACTGTAGAGCGGAATCTCCTCCGGAACCACGACGATGTTCAGAACAAGTTTGGCGGAGGTTTTACGCCCAGTCAGGATGGCCCCAACGGACATTGGGCGAAGGCAGGGAAGGGTGGTGTCGAGGCCAAGCAGTCGAAAAAGGCGGCAGCGGAGACGGAAGATAGGCTGACGGCTGCTGTACGGCAGGCCTTGGGAGCCGAGAAGGTGGTGCATACTGGCGATGTACTGCCCCTCCCACTACCGCCCCATCCCATCACCTATGCCCCGTCCCCGCCTGCGCGCATCTCTTACTGTGAGCCGGTTTCTCAGGGCCTGCTAATGACAACGACCAAAGTGGTTCTGATTCAGGCACGGCCACAGGGTCATCGGTCACAGCGAAGCTTACGGTCGAGCTCGGGTCTTCTGAAGCAAGTCGCGGAAGACGAAGCAGATGACACGTCCAACGAACAGTTCTACTCCGCCGCGGAGGATAAGCCGGTGGAGAGCAGCACAGAGGTCGAAGCTACATCGACGGCAGATGAGTCGGAGACGGAAGGGTCAGGAAATGCTAGCGACACATCGGACGACTCCCTAGATGACATGATCTCTCTTGCTGCTCCCGAGCTACCTCAACCGCCGTCCGGCGTCATGTCCGCGATGACTGCTGCCACACCTCGGGCAGGTGGTCGCCGTGGGGACGGTACACATACCCCTGGGTCCGTGGCATCTAACTTCACGTCTACGACTATGCGCCCTGGGCGAAGAAACGGCGGGAAGGTGTTCAAAGCGGAAGGCTTGCTTCGGAGGGTATCGAGCGACCTTCTCCACCCCAGGCCACGGGAAGATGATGATACCGAATCATTCATCTTTGTGGATATTAGCACACTTGCAAAGATTGGTTGTTTTTCAGGAGACTGGGTCAGGATTGAGGCCACTGAAGAACCGCAGCTGAATATGTTCGCCTCTATTAAGCTTGGAAGCTTCAACGAACAAGAGGAGGACTCTGGAAATTGGCGTGCTGCTAAGATATACGGACTCCCAGGCCTGCCATCGGCTAAACCTCGGTATTCGATCAACCAGTCTGGCGAGCGACGGTCGAGTATCTCTCAGCGTGCGCCAACGCGCTTGACTCCTTCCGTCTTCGTCCCGCCTCTGCTCTTGAACAATCTTGAGAACCCGAAATATCTACGCATCTCCCCGATCGCTTTTGCTGCGGCCAATGGAGCTAAACCTGGTCTTTTGCACCAGGTGAAGTCAAGTGTCGTGCGGAGCCCACCTCTGGCGAAGGAAGTAACTTTACTCAAAGTGTCTACTCCATTGTCCATGGACCGTGTCCTTCAACCGGCTCTGTTTGCTGGTCTCAAGCAATATTTCGAATCGAAGCGACGACTACTCAAAGGTGGTGATCTTGTGGGAATCAGCGTTGATGAGGGACTTGGTCGAGCCGTCTTCCCTGTAACAACCGGTGGCGACACTGGTGCCCAGGATGATGATCTGACTATTCGTTTGGGTCAGGTTACTGGTGCTAACCACACCGCATCCAAGAAAGTCGGCGTCGCCTGGTTCCGCGTTGGACAGGTTGTTCCTAGCACGTCCAATGAGCAGGATGGCCCCGAGAATCAGTGGGGAGGTGTTGCTGTTATCGATTCAGCCACCACCCGAATGGTCCAGGCCGGTAGTGATGTCAGCAGGGTACCAGGCACTATCAACAATGGATGGGAATATTGGCTTGGAGTCAAGACAGTTCCGCGGGCCGCCAACGACGCTCCGACTCCGCATGGCCTTATCACGGAAGCCCCACAGTCGTTTATTCCTCCGTTGCAGCAGCGCATTCGAGACCTGATGTCAGTGGCAACCAGCCCCCGTGCGATCCAGCTGGGCATGAAACCGGTCGTCATCCTGATCAGGTCCCAACAGAGGCATATCGGCAAGGCGACCATCGCAAACCGCGCTTGTGCTGATATTGGTCTTCATACATTCCCCATCGATGCGTACGATATTTTGACTGAAGGTGGCGCCAATGGAGGTGATGTGAAGACCGAAGCATATTTGAAGGCCAGAGCAGAGCGCGCTTTCCACTGTGGGCCGGAATGTACTGCTCTTTTGATCAAGCATATCGAAGTCTTGACTGCAGACCGCATCATTTCAGCGATGGCTGATATTGTGGCGGATGCGCGAGTCGTGATCGCGACCACCACGGATGTGGAGCAGATCCCTGAAGGCATTCGTAGCATGTTCACGCACGAGTTTGAGATGGGTGCCCCAGAGGAAAAAGAACGCGAGGGAATTTTGCGCAACGCTGTCACCGAACGTGGTATCAAAACATCACCTGATGTTGATTTATCCACTGTGGCCCTGAAGACCGCTGCTCTGGTTGCGGGAGACTTGGTGGATGTTGTTGAGCGGGCCTCAGCCGCAAGGACGGCTCGTCTCGAGAAACTGGCAGAACTGGCAAGCAGGAACGCCGGCCAGGCTGTCAGCGTTAGGGATGTACTGGTCTCCGGTGGAGACGCGGCACGAGGAGTTACGAAGGTTGATTTTGATGCGGCAGTTGATGCCGCCCGAAAGAACTTTGCTGATTCCATCGGTGCACCGAAGATCCCCAACGTCAGCTGGGACGACGTGGGTGGTTTGACCAATGTCAAGGATGCTCTGATTGAAACCATTCAGTTACCGCTCGAGCGACCCGAGTTGTTTGCTAAAGGCATGAAGAAGCGAAGTGGTATCCTATTCTACGGACCTCCAGGTACCGGCAAGACATTACTCGCGAAGGCTATTGCGACCGAATTCTCTCTGAATTTCTTCTCCGTCAAGGGACCGGAGCTGCTCAACATGTACATTGGAGAGTCCGAAGCGAACGTGCGCCGAGTCTTCCAACGGGCGCGGGATGCTCGGCCTTGTGTTGTTTTCTTCGATGAATTGGACTCCGTCGCACCTAAGCGAGGCAACCAAGGAGATAGCGGCGGTGTCATGGACCGCATTGTCAGTCAACTTCTCGCGGAGCTCGACGGTATGAACGGGGGTGAGGAAAACAGCGGTGGCGTCTTTGTCATTGGTGCCACCAACCGGCCCGACCTCCTCGACACGGCTCTTCTCCGTCCTGGTCGGTTCGATAAGATGCTTTATCTGGGTGTCTCCGATACCCATGAAAAGCAGTCTACTATTCTGGAGGCCCTGACGAGAAAGTTCACATTGTCGCCGGATGTATCGCTCCGCAGAGTCGCCGATCGGCTGCCTCTGACCTACACGGGTGCCGATTTGTACGCCTTGTGCTCGGATGCTATGCTCAAGGCTATTACGCGCAAGGCTACGGCTGTTGACGAGAAGATCAAGCAGCTTCCTGGAGAGCCGGTCAGCACGGCGTACTTCTTCGACCACTTGGCCACGCCAGAGGATGTGGCGGTGATGGTTACGGAGGAAGATTTCAAGGAAGCACAGGATGAGCTGGTTCCTAGTGTTAGGTGAGTCACAGATTGTTCTATCTTCAAGATTTCCCGCTCTAACAGCGTGCAGTGCCAAGGAACTGGAACATTTCGAGCGGATCCGACAGACCTTCGAATCGGTTGATAAGCAGAAGCAGGACTCGGGCAATTCCGCGCCCCAAACCATCGAGGAAGTGCTGGAGGCACTCAAATCGGGGGATCAACTGGAGTTCAGTATGGATGGACCCACCACCAACGGAGACTCGGATGTCAACGATGTCGGAAAGGGTAAAGGCAAGCAAGTACCCAGTAGCCA